TAATATAATATGCAAGTATTTTAGTTTGTTTCTTTCATAGTTTTTCTTTTTTTTTTCTTTTTCTAATATTTTATTGTAAGAATAATTTTATAATATAAATGTATTTATAGTAAATATTACTAATTTTTGTATAGTGTAAACTGGGAAAAAAAATTAAAAAAAAAAATTTTAAAAAATTAATTTAATAATAATTTGGAATAATGAAAAATAAAAGAATTTAAAAATATAATAGAAAATTGAGTTTAGATTTTTAAAATTAATTTAATAATTTAAGTTAATTAATTTCAGTATATTTTTCGCCTCATATATAAATGCTTCTTAATTTTGATTCCATTTCATTAATCTTTGCAATATTGTAATTTAAAAAAAATATATATAAATATGTTGGTACGTTTTAATTATTCAAGGATACTCGAATCCTTCTAATTAGTAGAAAAATAAAATTATAAATAATTAAAAATTATTGATTATATTTCGTTATTTTCGAATAATATTTTGAATATGACATTACTCAACAATAAATAATTAATAACAATAATTCATCATTAATATTTAAAAATATTGAATAAAATTTTAATATAATAATACCAAAATTAATTATCACTAATATTTAAAAATAATAATAATAAAAATTTAAAATAAATTAAAATTATTAGTAAAATTATAATAGAATACACAAAATTGATTAAATTAAGTTTAATATAAGGTAAAAAAATATTAAAAACTTTATTTATTTATTACAACTGCCCTAAATTACATGACTTTTATATATAATGAATAATTTAGAAAAATTCAAATTAAAAGAAAATTTTATTTGCTATATATAAAATTCATTACATCGCCTCAAAACCAATGAAAATTCATAATTCTAGGAGTTTTCTCTAATAAATGAAATTAAATTACATAATTAAATTTAATATTTTATTTTTGGTAAAAAAATCTCTTTGAATATAAAAATTTAATCGTAAAAATTATTTAAAAATTATTAATTAATAAATAACAAAAAAAAAAAGAGCATTTATCATTTAATTAAAGCTTACAATCAAGCTTCTATTAGTGTTTTAATTCAATATGTCCGGCTTTCAGTCCAATTAGATGAGTTCTCAAGTATCTTCTATTAGGAAAAAATAAAATCCGTAAAATTTAAAAAAAAATTGTTCTTAAAAATTTAATAGAAATTTTTATAGAAAATGGTAATATATTTTTAATAATGATGCCCATAGAAAATAATAGAAGAAAATCTTAAAATGAGTTTGAAAAAGAAATCGAATTTCCTTTTTTAAATTCCTTTTTTTTTATATGTATTTAAAAATCAATTATTCAATTGACTTGTTTTAGTAGCTTATTTTTAGTAAGCATTTATTCTTGTTGAGGAAAAAAATTTTTTTTCTGATTATTAATTTAAATGGTGAGTATTTTTGAAAATGCAATTTGCTTTTTACTATTTCTAGCTTACAACTTAATTAACTTAAGGAGCAAAAGAAATACAACTGGCAAAAATTTTTTTATGTTTGCTATTTGAGTAAAAAAGAATGCTTTTGCAGTTTTAATAAAATTAAAACCAGCGAATGTTAAAGATCTTGCAGCTGTAAAAATATTGTCAGAACGATTACTGCATTTTCAAAAATACTTTTTTGAAACACAGTTCGTGTATTGTACTTAATTATCAAATATTATTTGCAAATTAAGTATCAAGAATAGAACTGAATTATCAATAATATAATGATGCTTCATAAATTATTATAATTTGAAAAGTAAAGAAAATTAATTAAAATTAATGGGTCAAAAATAACAGAAAACATAAGCTCTAAAAACTGAAATTTTTGGGATAGATTAAAAAAATTTTTTTTTTTAATAAATATATTAGAAATAAAAAAATAAAAATACAAGTTTTTATATATTTTTTTTTTGTTTTTGTTTTTATTATAATAAATTTAAATAGTTTTGTTTCAAAAAAAAAAAAAAAAAAAGTCTATTTAAACATCTAAATTAAATTTTATTATTATTTTTTTTTTTTTGTAATGTTATTCACATTATATATGTATATACAAATCATTTTTTTTTATACACATATATATATATACATATTATGTATAGTATTTATTTTTAATATTATTACTTTTTTTTGTTTTTGTTCATAAATATAAATATATATATAAGATACCGTAATATATGTTAACTTTTCATTTTAAATTTTATTTATTTCTTTCTTTTTATATTCAATTAAATTTTAATTTAATGTTTTTTATGTATAATATTCTAAATTTTTTTTTTGTTTTGTTTCTCAGAAATAATTTCAATTGATTTAAATTTCTCAATTTCTTTTTTCATAAATTTTCGGTAATATATAATATTTTTTTAATAATTTGTTTTTTCTTTCAATTTTTTTAATTTTTCAAATTATATTAGAATCATTTTTGAAATGTTTTCTTTACATATACATATGAAATGTTTTAGTTATTTTTTTTTTTTGAATTTTTCATTTTTTTTTTTTTATTATTATTTGAATTAATAATTTATTAATTATAAATTTATTTTTAAATAGTTTTTAAAAATATTTAAAAACAGTATGTTTTCTTTTCATTTTTATTTTTTTTGCTATGAACCCATTGGGTTTAAGTTAAAACTGCACCACTTATGCCCATCGCTTTTAATATTTTTTATATTTCTTTTATATATTTTGTATATTTATTTTTTTATGTTTTACTAAAATAAGAGAAGAAGTCAAACAAAAAATAAAAATAAAATTAAAATATTTAAATATATTCATTTTAATGTTATTCAAATTTTGAAATAACACAAAATAGATAATGATTATATTAAATGTTAAAAACATAATTTTGATATGTTAAAAAATATTATTTTGGGAAAATAAGATTATATTTTTCAAAATAATTTTTTTTTTTTTTCTACAATTAATAAGAAAAATACAATTAAGTAAATATTTTTCGGAAATAAATAAATTATTAAACCATATAAAATAAGAATTAATTACAAATTTTTATATTATAAATAAATTAATTTCAAAAAAAAAAAAAGGTTCAAATTACCAACCATAACAAACCACGAATAAAAAAAAATGTATTAATAAAAACCTGGAGACCTAACACTAATTATTGAAATGCGATTATAAAAATATGGTTTTAAACATTAGGATTTATATTTAATAAAAATCCGACATTTTTTATTCTATTTTAATTTTAAATATTATTAATTGCACGCAGAAATTAATTTTATGAAAAGTAATTGGTAAAAAAAAAAATCAACTTACATAATATTACTAAAATATTACTAATATTTTTTTTTCTTTTTTCGATTAGCGATTCGAAAATAGAAAAAAAAAACAAATAAAAACTCTAGAATATTGATACAATATATCAAGAATAATTGAATTTTTTATGTAAATTAGAATTCAAAATATAAGAAAAATATAAATTTATAATACTACGAAAAATATACAAATGAGTTATTAAATTTTTTCTTTCTGTTTTTCTTGCCCTTAACTAAACAAATATGTAGCTATATAAAACAGTTGAAAAAAAAAAAAACCAAAATATAATTTATTAAAAAGCAATGGACAATGTGATTGAACAGCCCAGTTAAAAAAATTGTATTTTTTATTTCATTAAATATAATTTACTTTTATTTTTTTTTTTTTTGTTTATTTTACATTTCATTTTGTCAGCAGTTTATGAAGAATTTTATTATTTATTCACTGTGATTTTTGCTTTAACTTATGAAAATTTTTTATACTCTTTTTACTAATTGATAATATATGGTAAGTAAATATAATAAAATATATATGCTTTTATTATAATTATATAATATATTTATAGATTCCCTTAAAAAAGTTTTTTTATTTTACACCTAAAAATATATTAATGCAAAACAAAAACAATAAATCAATTACTAAAATATTCTTTTTAAATATTGTTATTGTTCGAACTCTTGGTCGAACTTTGTTTTTTTTTTTTTTTAATTTTAATTATAAGATTTCTTCAATTTTAATTAATTCAAATTAATAAACAAACAAAAAAAAAAAAAGATATTTAAAAAATTTTATAAAATTAAAAGATATTTAACATGTTTCTTTTTTTTTTTTGTTTTCATTTGATTTATGTTTTTTTTTAACATAATTTTGTTTTTTTCGTTAAATAATTAAAAAACTTTATACAATAGTTGTGTGTTTATTTACTTTTAATTAAAACTTAAAAGAAAAAAACTTTTTTTTTTTTAGAATAACAATATAATTTTTTATTTTTACAAAAAAAGCAAGCAAATGCTCCTATATTTATAGTTTATTTATTTATAAAATTGTTATTAAATAATTTAATATATTAGTAGAAAAAAAAGGACAATATATATATATATATATATATAATAATATACGTATATTTTTTTTAAGTTAAAACCTAAAAATCCATCAAAAACTAATTTAAATTTTTTTTTTTTTAAAAAAGCAAAAACCATTAACGAGCTCTACTTTTTCTAATTTCTAGCGTGGAAGAGGGAATCCTTTGGTCATTATAAAAAGCTATAATGAAAGGAAAGTTTTTTTAATTAAAAGAAATAAAATAAAATTTTTTTTTTTTTATTTAAAGGAATTAAATCATATTTTTTGTATTTAAAATCTTTGAATTACTAGAATACTATTGACTATTAATCCATGTCTATTTTTATTATTAAAATACAAGTATTTTTTAAAAGAATTTGAATAAAAAAATTTTTGATGCATTTTTATGTAAACTCTCAATCCATCTTATACAATGACAAATTAAATTTGTTTTAGACTAAAAAATTTTTTTAATACAAAACTATAAATTGAACAAAATTTTTTAAAAAATTATATTTTTAACATAAAAAAAGAATAACATTCTATTTAATTTTTTTTTTTAGATTAAATATTAAAAAAAAATTTTTTTGTAATTTTTTTCTTTCATCATTATTTTTGTTTGTAATACATAATAATTATTTATTTTTTTTTTTAATTTTATTGTTTCTTAAAAAAATGTCGCAAAAATATCAAAAAACTTATTTAAACATTATATATTTTATAAATTATTTTTTAAATATTATTAATACATTTAGAATATTCTTTGAAATTTATTGAAAAAATTTTTATGTGCATAATATTTTCTCTGAAAGTTCTGAAGAGATTCTCATTAAAAAAAAAAAAAAACAATCCATACTTTTTGTTATTTTCAAAATTTAATTTTAATAAAACTTTTAAAATTTCAAAATTAATTTTTATATGGGTGCAATTCGCTATTACTTTCAGTTAATATTGAAATTAAAAAATAATTTACTTTTTTTTTTTTGTATGTTATCATTTTACTTAAAACAAAATTTAAAACAAGGTTAAGTGGTTCAATACAACTCTTAAAATTTTTCGACTCATAACTATATAAAAAGTTAATAAATTAACATCGAATTTTATTATAATTTTTAAAAAGTACTAAATACCTAAACACTATTAAAAGATTTTTTTTTTTGTAATGTTTTGTAATCATTTAAAATTGATTATGTAAAAAATTGGTTTCCAATATAAGTAATTATAAAAATTGTTTCAATTTTAATTGTATTTCATTAAACTGGCGAATTTTTTTGTGTTGATTCACACCCTTCAAAGATTTAGTACCAATTTTTTTTTTTTAAACATTCGAAACCAACGTTCCTTTTTTACTTTATTTAATATGTATTAAATTTTGAAATGATAAATTCAGATTGTAAAAATGACTTCTTTTATAATTTTAGAAATTAAAGCTATGTCCAACAATACATACAACCTTATACAATAACAATGGAAGATACTACGAAAACAAATAATAAAATACTTTTAAAAATAAAGTAATCATCTAAGTTACATTTGTTTCATTTGCCAGATTTAACAGATTCGAATGCTCTTCTCGATTAAATTCCAAAATTCTCCGAGGTAAAAGTTAAACAAGCTGCATGAATTACCAGATAGTGAAAAATTTATAAGACACAATAAAAGAATTTTGATCCCACAATGATGAAGATTCTTGGCAATCTGTTTTGGAGATCCGATCCCTTTTGAAATTTTCAAAATTTTCTAAATTTATTTTTTGTTTATTTTTAAAATCTACTTATCTATTACAATTTAATATATCTCTTTCGACAAAAAAATATAAATAAATAATAAATGAAACTTTTCAATGATCAAAATACTACAAATACAGTAAAAAAAATGTTTCATCTAAATAATTTAACATCACATAAACAGAAAAATCAATAAAAATTATTCTAAAATTACGTAATAGTATTTTACATTAAAAAAATATTCAACAAGTATCTGCATCTCCTCTTAAATTAATAGATAGTATCATAATTTTAACAATTTATTATAATATTTTAAAATCAAAATAAAAATAAGATAAAAAAAAATAAATTTTTAATACTTTCAAAATATTATTTTGTAGTAAATTTCAATTTTACTTTACAATTTTATTCATATGAAATCAAATGCTGGCGATAAAAGACAAAAGATAAGAAAAGTTTAATTGTAATAAATACTGAACTGTTAAATAATTATTTTTGAGGAGCGAAAAAAAACGTTTGGATTTAAATTAAATATAAGAGTAAAAATTTTTTATTTCAAAGAAGCACCATAGGAAAACTCATAAAATTATTATTAAAATTATTTTGCACCAATTCAATAAAATGCATTTTACTAAACATTTTTTGTTTTTCAATAAAATTTATAGAATTTAAAAAAATTTTCTGCATGAAATTATACACATAAAAAATGTTTTCAAAGAATATTTTACAAATATAATATATATACATGTATGTATATATTTTTATAATATATAGCATAACTATTTGATAATACGGTTACTTTTTATTTAAATACACTAAAATATACCATACATCATATACTTCTGAGTTTTATAAAATCTCATATTTGTCGTCTTAATAAATGTTATTAAAATTTTTAAATAGAATTTAACTAATATTAGAATAGTACTTTTAAACATTAAATAATTATAAACTTTAAATAACAAAGCACTTTAAATATATTTTTTATAACTAATTTAAATTCTTGTGTCCTCTAATTAAATTAATGAAAAAAAAAATATATATATATATATGTAAGTTTTTCCTTTTTGCCTTCTAAATTAAAGTACAAGAGTACTTACTTTTTTTTTTGCTACATTTTCTAGTATCGTACATAATGTCACACATGATTTCTTTACAGTATTTTAGTTTATCGTTTATGTATTATATTTAATAAATAATACATGTTTTTACCTTAAGTATGTCCTATTCCACTATCCTCTAATTCCAGTTCCGTTTTCAGACGCATTTCTAATTCACGCATATCATTCGCTATACCTGCTTCATAAGTATCTTCAGGAACTTTTAATTTTGTTGGCGCTTTTTCTTTTGTTGATGACGATTCTGTTGACCAAAAACTATTATTTTGGTGTTGTTGATGTGTCTGGTGTTGTTGTGATAATCTTGATGGAGAATTTTTTGTATCAATATTTGTTTGCTTTGATGCAATAGGAGAACTATTCCATAAAGATGACGTAAACGTTTCAATCTAAGAAAATAAATTTAAAATTTTCATTTAAAAATATAAAATAATGGCTTTAAAATTTATGTTTTTTTCATTACTCACCTTGTCAAGTTTTTGGTGTGCCGGTGTTTGTGAAGTGTTGGGTAAATGTAAGTCAACCAGATCAAAATCAAAATCTTGATGTTGTTGTGAAGGCTGAATTGCATAGTTTCTCATGTGTGGTGAAATTTTAAAGTCTTTGTATTTGGGTTCTGTATCGTTAATATCAGTTAGACCAGCTTGTTTTTTAATAAATGGTAAAAGTTCATTTGTAATGCTATAATCTTTTATGAAATCATTTCCAAATATCCAATTTTCAATATTGTTATCTGAATCGACATTGTCTAAAAATCGATTTGAACACGATTGATTATCAAAAGATTTAGACATTCTTGATATTGGCCCAAATTTATTACTGACTGCATTAGATGTATCCACATCAAATGGTATATTGTACTCATCATCTAATATTGAATCAGATCGAATAAATCCAGCTGGACCAGAAGATCCAATATTACTACCCAAAGCATTTTGATTTATAATGTTTGTTGGTGTATTTTCTTGTGGATAACTAGACGAAACACCAGAGTTTTGCAATGCGCTACCAGCCCCAGACAATAAAACCCAACTGGATATAATATCTTCTTTACTCATGCCACCGGGCAAATTAAGATTTGGATTATTATTGAACGATGCTGCCGCAGCTAACATTTGTTTTGTATAATTATTGCCTAATAAATGATTAATTCATAATAATTATAATTTAGAAATCTTTTAAAATAAAAATAGACAAATTACTTACCATTCATTCTTGGTACAATTCTGTTGTTCATTGTATTAAAGTCTAAATCTTTAAATATTTCATTTATTTGATTGTTAATCATTAATGTATTGTTTCCAGCACCACCACTGTTATTATTTACAATGTTTAAGTTATTGTTTAAGTTATTAACATTACTAAATGTGCTATTGTTACCATTTGGTGAATTTAAATAATTAGAGTTCATAATGGGCGGATTTTTAAGATTCATGTTAATAGACGATAGCGAAGTGGCATTTTGTGCTTGAGGTGGTTGTTGCATTGCTCTACCTTGTTGTTCCCAAAGTGTTGACTGTCTAATGATTTCGGGAAGTTTTTGATAATCTGATTGCTGATGTTGGAAATTATTTATACTTGAACTATTAGGGAAAAAATTTTGTTGATTTGTCGGTGGTATAATTTGTTGTGGTTGTTGTTGTAAATTAGGTGGAGGTCCAGTTGGTAACTGAGTGTTTTGAGACAACTGAGTTGGTGGTGGTAACTGCGTTGGCATAACTGATCCGCCAGTAATTCCAGCAGGTGAGTTATTTCCAAACAACTCCGATGGACCGAAATTATTACCTATATTATTAAGTGGCGATGTAAAAATTTGTTGTGAAGAATTTGAATGTTTTGATCCACTATTTGATGGTGTTAACGTGGGAGCATTAAAATTGTTAGTTCCAGAGGCATTCCCACGTTGATGAATTGGTCTTGGTGATCGTAATTGAGGAATCATTCCGCCTCCACTGGCAGATCTTGATGAGTTTCCGAAATTGACATTAAAATGGCTTTGATCATATTGATGTCTTGGAGGTGGTTGATGCAGTTGTGGATGTACATTCGCAAGCATACCTGTTGGTATTGGACTAGGATTATGATGCTGATTCGGATGATGATGGTGTTGACTATGATGATGATGATGATGTTGATGAGAACCACTTTGCTGTGCTTGATGATGCATTTGATGTTGCTGATTATGATGCGGATTCGAAACCAAATCCATATAGCTATTTGGATGTAGGAGATTCTGAGAGGAATGGTGATGGGATGGAGCAATGTTTGGCAAACCAGTTTTTCCAACAATTCCTCCAAACCTAAGTGGTGAAGTTTCTTCAGAAGAGGACAGCCCAATTGATTGAGTATGATGTGAAGCTTCTAAATAATCCAATATTCCAAGCTCTTTTGAATTTATTATTGGTGTTTTAGTACTATTCTTTCGATTTTTTGCACGATATTTTTCTAATTCTTCTTCTGAATGTGCAAATGTACAACTGGTTCCACGCGGACATATGCGTCGTAATGTCAAGTCACGACAAAGACTAATTTTGTATTTGGCATTCGGATTTGCTTGAGAGGACTCCTGTAATTTACGATTTCCGTGATGCTGAACAAATTCGACCAAACCTATAACAACTTCCTTAACTGCATCTAACGCTTTGGAAACCTCTTGCCATGTAGGAATACTATTTTCCATATTTGGGTCAATACTAGCTAAGTGTTTTAAGTGTACACGCAAACCAGATAAATTAGCGGGATCCCCAGTTCTCTGTAAGGCAATAACTAGTTCTTGTACAGACTGAGCAAACGATTGTGGTGTCTGCAATTTGTCCATAATACTTTGCATATGAGATTTATGTATAGTATCCCCGTATAAAAGAGCAGACCACTGATCTGGGGCAATACGTAAACCAGCTTCTGTTGCGATTTGCACGATTTGAGCGTCATGTTCTCTTCTTAACGCTTCATAAGTTCGAAATTCTTCTTTTAATTGCATTAGTGAAGAGTCACCTTCCCTTTTAGATACCTTAAAACAACTTGCTCGATAAAGAAGTTGCACAACATGTCCAATACTTGTTTTTGATGCTTGCGAGAAAACTGGTTCTAGTCTTTGAACTACAAACATTACTAAGACTTTTCTTGATAAAGCTGAACCATCTTCGAGAGCCAAAAGAACTAATTTAAGTACTTCCTCTTGCATAGCTGGTCCAAGAAATTGGCAACCTCTCGCTCTAACCGCTGCCCACAAATTTGAACTTAACTGCTGTGGATTTTGATGTTGAAGTATTAGTTCAGTTACAACACGTTCTCCTAAAGAACGTGCAGCTCGTAAAGCTCTTGACCTTCCTTCTTCTTCCACTAATTGGCAGTTAACCAAAGTAACTAACTTTCTTTGCATTGGACGCGATAATAAACTCCCAGCATTACCGTTAGAAAATGGCTTCAAATACAGAGCTAAATCTTCAATACATTTTTTCCCGTGATTATAGCACTGTATTTCTTCTGTCGATAAATTTTGAATTAAACTAGGGGTAGCATTAGTTGAATCGAGAGATATCGCTCCTAAAACTCCAGAAGCGGCTTCGGAAGGTCCCGAAGTGAGCGAAGATTGTAAATTGCTATTAATATTATTATTACCATTATTATTGGATAATGTTGTATTTGTTGAAGTTGAACTGGTACTGACTAGTTGTAATAGGGCATAATTAATTGGTAAATTTTCTAAATCAGTTGTTATTGGTGTCTGAAATGAAAAATTAGATTTAAAAAACAAAAAGAAAAATAAAATCAACGAAATTAGAAGATCTCCTTAAGCGCATGGAACAATTCTTTCATTTACTTTTTAATTTTAGTAGGTAGGTACCTATTCTTAACAGAAGCATAATTTTTTTGCGAACAAACATTGCTAAGACAATATAAAAAATATATTATATAAAATATAACTTTAACGTACCTGATCAAATGGACATTGCTTATTATGTAAAGTTGCTAAGCATGTACGACAAATTGTATGGCCGCAACCTAAACTAATTGGAGGACGTTGAATTGCTGCAAATTCATGGCAGCAAACGGGACAGGATAAAAATTCTGTCCATTGGGGCGCCTGTATCGGCATTCTGAAATAAATTTAACATAAAAAAAAATATTTTAAATACCTACACTTCTCAAATGTTTAAAAATTATTTAAGTTTTTGCTTTTACTTAATGAAAATTACTGATATTAAACTTTATTATAATTTTTATATTGCAGATCTTTAAACTATGATACATTAAATATTTATGCAGCTCTCTAATTTCACAACAAATCAAATTTTATGGGTTTTTATACTTTTTATAATAGGATGTATGTATTTTGAAAATTTTTATGAAAAAAATTATTTATCATTTTCATAGAATAATAAAAACCCTATCCGAGAATAAAAGTTGGTGGGTTTGTAATCAACTTACATCTACAAAATTTAATTTTGCTTCATGTTTATTAATTTGTTCGTAATATTTTTAAGGAAATTTTTTTTTGCTTTAAAAAAGTTTTTTTTGTAAGTATTGCATTAGGTATAAAGCTTAAATAGGTGAGATTCCGGTCTCATTTTTTTTTTTTTGAAAAACTTAACACTAAGCCGTATATATTTCTTTTTAAATGCGCAACAATATCTATTCAACAAAGATATTATTTTTTCAAGTATCAGCTATGTTTAGAAGGATATTTAATATATATATTTTTTTTGTTTTTTTTTTTTTAAGTTCTTTTGCCCTTAGACAATCAATTTTAGGAATTCGCTTCGAGTTCATTGCACTAAATAAGTCAAAGTAAAGTTAAATTGTAAAAATATTTCAATTCGCTTTTTACTAAAATACAAACACGATTACTAATTAAATATTTATTTTGAACAAATTACTTCATTTTCATATTAAATACTAATTACCTATTGAAGCAGTTTTAATAGGCGTATTACTACCAAAAACGTCATCAAATAGGTTTTTGTTTGATCAAACCAGAAAAACTCTTTTTAATATTAAAAAAAAAACTATTTAAAAAGCTATATAAAAAATTTACATATTTTAAATTTAAATCAAAATTTCCAAAAATATATATAAAATATGACTTAGCGTTAATGAAAAAAGTTTAATGAAAAATTTTGTCATAATTTTTTATAAGAAAAATGCCAACTAGACATATTCTTTTTCACTCACACGAATTATTATACCATAAAAAACTTTGTCATTGAATACATAGAAGAACAGGACAGAAAATTTTAGAAATTATAATTTTATTTCAGCAGCTGTGATGAAATCTTTTTTTTTTTTTTACATAGCTATGAATTTTCAATTTTATTTTTTCCCAACTTAAATCACAATATAATAAAAACACTAAATTTTTAATACTTGTTCAGTAGATTTACCTTGTTTTATTAAGGAAATATTCATCACATTTTAAAACTTCAAAAAACAGCAATCATTTCTTGTAATTTTCACTTTTGACTTTGATTTGATTTTTCTTAATTTTGACTTAAAAGTTTTGATGACGTTCAGTGCTGCCTGCCCCTCCTAGAAAAATGGAATATAAGATTACATACATACTTTAAAAATTTGACACTTTAAAGTAGATGATAAAGTTGAAATAGTTTGCTTGCAAACATTTAGTAAAACAAACTAGATTCAAAACAAGTTTTGTTATTTTTATTTTAAAAACTTTACATATACGAGGGTCACTATTTATATTTCGGGTCTAGCAATAAAAAACAAACATTTATCATTGGAAATGGTTTTATTGTTTTTCAAAATATTCCTCATGAAGATCAATACACTTTTGCATGCGCTGAAACCAATTTTCGTAGCACTTTTTCCACTCCGATTGAGACACCTCCAAAACATGGTTTTTGAACGCATCGACTGCTTCTTCAGGTGTTGAAAATCGTTGTCCACGCATTTTTTTTTTGATGTGAGGGAATAAGAAGAAGTCATTGGGTGCTAAATCATGACTGAACGGCGGATGACCCATCAATTCGACATTTTGAGTGCTCAAATAGTCCATTGTTTCAGCTGATTTGTGAGAGCTTGCATTGTCATGATGAAGAATGATTCGCCGGCGCTTGTTTGTTTTCCTTATTTCTTCGAAAACTTTCGGCAAACAGATGGTGGTGCACCATTCAGAATAGACCGTCCTACGTTCCACTAAAGGTACTGTGGCCACATGACCGGTTATACCAAAAAAAACGCGATCATTTGCTTCGATGTGCTTCTTCCACGAACAACTTTTGTTGGATTTGGCTCGTCTTGGAACACCCATACGGTCGATTGCTGTTTCGTTTCGGGCTCATATGCATAGATCCATGATTCATCACCTGTGATTATCTTATAAACGTCTTTTGACGCACCGCGATTGAATTTTTTCAACATTTCTTTGCTCCAATCGACACGAGCCTTCTTTTGTGCAATCGTCAAATTTTTTGGGATCCATCGACAACACACCTTTTTCACGGCAAGATGTTCATGCAATATCTTATGTACGCTGGTGGAACTAATGCCCAAGGATGCCTCAATCTCACAGTATGTCACATGCCGGTCCATCATTATCATTTCGCGCACAGCATCGATGGTTTCCGGCAAAACGACCGAAATTGGCCGACCTTCACGAAATTCATCCTGGAGCGAACGGCGTCCGAAACCAAACTCTTGGTACCAGCGATTTACAGTGGTTTTTGATGGTGCTTCATCACCAAAAGTCGAAACAAGTTGATCGAGACACTCTTGTCTCGATAATCCGCGCCGAAAATCGTAAAAAATCATCGCACGAAAATTTTCACGGGACAATTCCATTTTTTGACCGAGATGAATTTTTCAAGTCACTTTAAACAAAACAATTCGCGCTCGAATGACAAAACGTTCTGAGTGAAGTTGTCCTAAAAAATGTCAAACTTTCCAATGGAAGTGTCAGATTGAACCTGGCAGCACTAGTATTGCCAGGACCCGAAATATAAATAGTGACCCTCGTATTGGAAGTAGGAAAATATATTGATTTTGTACTGTTATTTTGGCAGACATTGAGTTAAATTAATACAAAAAAATGTTAAAACATTTTCATTTTAGGGCTTTGTCAATAATAAGAGAAATCAAAATAAAATTTCAAAAATAAAATTTCAAAAATAAAATTATATAGCAATTTCCAAACTAGGTTGCGTTGTTAATTGAAAAAAAATCAAAGAAAACAGTTGTTCGTGTCCAGATTTATTATCATTTTTATATGGTTTTTGTATGGTTATGGCAGATTTATTATCATGTATGGTTTCTTTGGTAAGCATTTTGTGTAAAAATTTTGCGTTAACATAAAATGACACGTCTTGGAGTAGATACATTTGATTAATCTTTAGGCACTTAAACTTTTGCTAAAAATATTACAATGGTTTTTTATTGTATTTTGCTAAAAATGTTACAACGATGAATTAGTTGTCTTCTTGCCCGTGCCTCACAAAAGTGGAGACTGTGATCAGACGTCTCGTTTTTATAATGCTAAAATCTATACAAACTGCAAACAATTTGTCGTAATTTGTATAACTAACAATCCAATCTGCACTGTTCACTAAAGAGAGCGACAATAAATTCGCCTTTCTCTTAGTAGACTTTAAAAGTTCCCTGGCAGACTTTAAAAGCTCTGCTGCTTCTCATTTTTATCCATATTCAATATATACTATGAAAACCGCCGCACGGTAGACGTATATTATAAAAATATTTTATGTATCCAAATATATTTTTAATACATTTGGACTTCAGATTTGGTGTACTGCACCAGCAATGCGGTAGCTTCAACTATCGTATATTGGTTTCATTTGGGTTTACCGAATAGTAAGCCTCATGTTCAGTAAATTTACCTAGTATGTATTTCTATTTTGCTCAATGTTAATTTATTCAACTTTTGATTTTAAATTGCCATTTGAGTATCCATTTTTTAACTGAATTTTTTAAAACTGAATGGATTCCTGTGTTTTTTACATTTTTTCTGAAATCGTTTTTGTTGTCTATATTATTTGTAATGAGTTGCAGTTACACGTATCGGCTTTTTCATTACTTTTTTTTAGCTAACTGTCTGGTGTTGTTTACATTTCAGACAGAAATTGTTTGAGGGCGCTCAGATTTTATGTCAAAATTTTATAATTTTTACTGAAAAATGACACATTAAAAAATGTGATGAGAATGTGTAAAAAATAAGTTATACAACCTTTCTTGCGAGTAACTTGCGAGTATGTAAACACTTGACTAAGTAGATTCAATCCCAAATTTTTCAATATACAATTTCCTCGAAAATTTAATTCGAGTCTTGAATTGGTCTAATGAGGCCATTTGTCATTCAAATTTCCCAAAAAAAATTTTTTCTTAGGAGACGTCAGAATTCGTTAATAAATTTTTGTGGTTTTTTTAATTAGATAAAATTGCAAAATCTTTTTAATTTATTTTTCAAGTAAAGAAAATTTAGTATTTTCTATTTTATTTCTGAGTAAGTGCTAAATAAAATGTAAATTAATTTTTTATAACTCCTTTGTTAGTGATTTAAGTGCCTTTTTTTAACACGCTTTTTTTTTTATAAATTTGCTTAATAATGGAAAGAAGTTTTAATTTCCTGTACTTTTATTTATAAAGATAAGTTTCTTGCTTTTATATTATTGCATAGTTAAATGTTAAAAACTTCCTGTTATTACAAATTTAAGGAAAAAAAGCGAAAATTTAACGATCTGCGCCGCCATAACTTTTTCTTCCATTTAGCAACACATACGTCTGCATATCTATATATACATATTATATTAATGAATACATACATATACATATTATGTAGGTATACAATCTGTGGAAAACAGATGGATGTATATTACAAATTTGAAATGCACTTAAATTTTTTTTCTGATATTCTTGCTATTGGACAAGAATTTCGTTATTTAGTCCAAATTATTAAAAATTTTTGAAACTTAGAATGAAAGTTTTTGGAAACATAAGCTTTACTGAATCATAATATATCTTGTTATAGACAACCTAAAAAAGAAGAAAGCACAATGACGTGGGAGCCTCAAGCAGAAGGATTACAACAAATTATAACAATACTAAAGGAGTCTCAATCTCCTGTTACTGCTACGCAGCTTGCGGTTCAAATGGTAAGTATATTCTGTATTTTCTGTATTTTACTTTTTCCTAAGACTAAGTCAATTATTAAGAAAGTTATATTTAATGCAAAAAGTTTTTTGTGTGGCTCAGTTACCCCAATTAAAAAGCAACTAAACCTTTAAGGTATTTTTTTGAATTTCGCATGTAGGTACTATATTTTCTTTATTTTATAACGTTATTTGGAAGGATCAAGTTAAATCGTTTAAATTTATACATTTATTCAGACAAAAAAAAAAATTAAATTTTTTAATTTTAAATGCATTTTCACCTACTTCGTTGTTTCCCGGCAGATTATCTCTGTTTAGATATTCGATTTCGAATACATGAGCAAAATTTTTTTTTGTTATACAATATACAAAACATCGAGATCAATATAAATTTTTAATTGAATACTTTGTTTTCAGAAACTGGAGGAGTTGAACCAGTATCCTGATTTTAACAATTATTTGATATATGTTCTGACAAAACTAACATCAGAAGATGAACCTACTCGTTCTCTAAGTGGATTGATTCTAAAAAACAATATCCGAATTCATGGTAATAATTTACAGCCTGAAATATTAGAATATATTAAACAAGAATGTTTAATGGCTGTTGGTGACCCGTCACCTTTAATACGGGCAACAGTAGGAATTTTAATTACAACCATTGCTGGAAATGGAGGTATTGTACATTGGCCGCAATTGTTGCCTTCACTATGTGAAATGTTAGATTCACAAGATTATAACGTTTGTGAGGGAGCCTTTGGGGCTTTGCAAAAAATATGCGAGGATTCAGCAGACACGTTGGACAGTCCAGCTTTAAATAGACCTTTAAATATTATGATACCGAAATTTTTACAATTTTTCCGTCATACAAGCCCAAAAATACGGTCCCATGCGATTGCCTGCATAAATCAATTCATAATAAATAGATCACAGGCATTGATGTTACACATTGACACATTTATTGAAAATTTATTTCATTTATCGCAAGATGAGGATCATGAAGTGAGAAAAAATGTTTGCCGTGGCTTGGTGATGCTTCTTGAAGTTAGATTGGATAGACTTTTACCACACATGAATCAAATTATAGAATACATGTTATTAAGAACACAAGATCCGGATGAAAGTGTAGCGTTAGAGGCATCAGAGTTTTGGTTATCTTTAGCTGAGCAAAATATTTGTAAAGAAGTTTTGGCGCCACATTTACACAGATTAGCTCCAATTCTTGTTAGAGGAATGAGATATTCGGAGATAGATATTATTTTATTGAAGGTGATATATTATGTCTGCAATAAATTTTTATAACATAATGTGTTTAACATTTTGTTTTAAACTATATTTTAAAGTAAGTAAAAAAATTAGGTAATTAATAATTATTCTTTTAATAGGCAAATGTTGAAGAAGATGATATGATACCAGATCGTGAAGAAGATATTCGTCCACGCTTTCACAAATCACGTGCTCATACGATAAAATCTGGCGATGAAGACGATGAAGAAGATGAAGACGATGATGGTTTAGATGATGACAGCTCTTTGTCAGAATGGAACTTAAGAAAATGTAGTGCCGCCGCTTTAGATGTTTTAGCAAATGTATTCCACGAAGAGTGTTTGCCCATAGTTTTACCCATTCTTAAAGAAACTTTATTTCATCAAGATTGGGTAGTTAAAGAAAGTGGTATTTTAGCATTGGGAGCTATAGCTGAAGGTTGTATGTCGGGGATGATACAACACTTACCAGAACTTATTCCATTTTTAATATCATGTTTGTCAGACAAAAAAGCTTTAGTTCGTTCCATAACTTGTTGGACATTGTCAAGATATGCAAATTGGGTTGTTAATCAACCACATGATCAATATTTAAAACCTTTAATGGAAGAATTATTAAAACGAATATTAGATTCGAATAAACGTGTACAGGAAGCCGCCTGTTCAGCATTTGCTACATTAGAAGAAGAGGCTTGCACAGAACTAGTACCATATTTAGAATATATTTTGAAAACATTAGTTTATGCTTTTTCAAAATATCAACACAAAAATTTGTTAATATTATATGATGCCGTTGGTACTTTAGCAGATTCTGTGGGCCATCATCTTAATACACCTGCTTATATTAATATATTAATGCCTCCTCTTATTGAAAAATGGAATTTATTAAAAGATGACGATAAAGATTTATTTCCATTATTAGAATGCCTATCCAGCATAGCCACTGCTCTACAGTCGGGTTTCTTACCATATTGTGAACCAGTTTACAGACGTTGCATTTCATTGATCGAACAAACAATTAATCAAGACATGGTTTGTAAAATTAAATTTGAATTTATAACTATTTAATTGGCTATAAATGAAATTCATTTAGAGAAATAAATATATTCACTATTATTTTAGGCTCATAAATCTAATCCTGGCGTAGATCAACCTGACAAGGAAAGAATGATTGTTGCACTTGATTTATTATCTGGATTAGCAGAAGGATTAGATGGTCATATAGAATCATTAGTAGCAAATAGCAATATCATGCAATTATTGTTTCAATGCATGCAGGATATTTTACCTGAAGTATATATTAGAAAATTAAAAAATTAAATATATTAATAATATTTATTTTTTGTTAGGTCCGTCAATCATCTTTTGCTTTACTAGGCGATTTGACAAAAGCATGTTTTCAACATGTCGCACCATTCATGTCAGATTTCTTTCCTATTTTGGGACAAAATTTAAATCCTGATTATATTTCGGTATGCAATAATGCTACTTGGGCTATAGGAGAAATTTGCATGAAGTTAGGTAAATAAAAATTTTTTATAACTTTTTTTTTTTTAGGTTTAATTCAAGTAAATTTCTAAAATTCACTTTGTGATTTATATAATTTTAATTTAAGGAGAGGAAACAAAACCATATATTCCTCTGGTTTTAAAAGAACTTATTGTTATCATTAATAGACCTAATACACCAAAAACACTCTTGGAAAATACGGGTGAGTCTTAATAATAAAAATATTTCTTTTTTAGTAAACAAATTGTAATCGAGATTTAATTAACAAGAAATTTAATGTTTATAAAACCTACGTAAACTTCGCTTAAAGTTTTTTGTTTAATTTTTGAGATTTTTTTAGAAATTAAAAAAAAATATATTGTAAGTAAGTATAAAATAAATTGATTAAAAAAATATAATAATAAACCGGTACATATGACATTTTTAAAATGATTTAAATACCCAATAAGAGGTTTTTAGTTCATCTGTTTGTTTAAAAAGCTTTCAATAAAGTTTTTTATATTTTGAAAAAAACCTATGTATGTATTTCGATAATTAGATTTAAATAATTGTGTTAGCTAAAAATTATGTTCTGTTAAAGATCGGATTATATTTTCTAATGTCTTTAAGTCAATGAAAATTATTTATATCAATACAATATTATAAATAATATGCATATAAATATACATTCATTAAATTCTTGTGTAAGTTATAAAGTTATTTACGTTCAATTTAAAAAAAAATGTTTGTTTTATTTTTATGTAATTTTTATGTAAATATCCATTACTTTTTTTTCTTTTTTCTTTTGTTTTTTTTTTATTATTTTGTTGTTTTTTTAGCTATAACAATCGGTCGTCTAGGTTATGTGTGCCCCGTTGAAGTGGCCCCCTTTTTACAAGAATTTGTACGGCAGTGGTGTGTAACAAAATTTCTTTTATTTGAAATATTTATTATAGTTGATTTTTTTTTAATAATATATATATTATTTTTTTATTATATTTCCAATTTTGATATATGTATATAATTGCTATTTTTTTTTCTTTATATTTGATTAAGACTTCTTAAACGATTTTAAATTAAAATTAAGCCGGAAAAGTGTTTTTTTTCGTTATTTTAATTACTTATAATTTAATATTATCATTTTTGTTTTTTAATCATAAACTTAAATGCTGAATTTCAGCATTGCTTGTCAATAATTTAATTAAAAAAAAAAACCTATTTCTAAATAATTGAATTAAAATGCTATACGGTTTTTATCGTTCATAATACTTTATTTTGTATTAAACCAACCAAAAAAGTTGGGTGTCTCTTTTTTTTTTTTATTGCAAATTTTGCTGCCATTTCCGTATTTTGAACATATATAAAAACAAATTTTTTATATTGATCTTATTTTCCAAAAATTGCCAGTAAATATTTATAGGATCAAGCAATCCTATATCTACATTACAAGTGCTATACATAGAAAAAAAATATAAAATTCGCAAAAATTTTTCTCAAATTGTTAAACTAATGCATTCAATGATTTGTGTTTATTAAAATTAATAAAGTTTAAAGTTATTTGTGTTAATAACATTTGGGAGAGATTAATATGTATGAAACTAAACTTCTTCTGTTTCATTGTTGTATAAAAAATATCTGCTACTACATTAAAAATTGTGGAATCAATTATTAGATTTTAAATAGCGTATTCAAGCCACTGACCATGCCATAATTATTATTTAATTGTGTTTTCCTGCTTTCAAAAGCAATAGTTTGAAATTGATGTCATTTTGTTTCTTTTACCTTTTGAATTAGCTAATTGTTTTATAACAAATAAATTTTTGTTGTTAAATCATGTATGTTAAAATACTAAAATGGCAATTATTTATGGCGTATGTACGTACATAATAATAAAGAAAAACGATATATACATATATTAATATATTAATAAATTGTATTTAAAAACAATTGTTTTTACTATAACTTTTCATTTTAATGGTAATATTTGTTAAAAATAATATTGCATATTATATATACAAACAATTTTATTGATATTTTTTTGTTTTAATGTTAGGTGCACATCTCTTCGTCATATAAGGGATAATGATGAAAAGGATTCAGCGTTTAGAGGAATGTGTCATATGATTACAGTAAATCCAGCTGGAGTTGTTCCTGATTTTATATTCTTTTGCGATGCAATAGCTTCTTGGGCAAATCCACCCAGCGATTTACATCAAATGATACAAAAGGTTTGTCTATATTTTATCAAAACGAAAATAATTGAAATTTTAATACATATTATGTAAGAATTTTCATTCATTAAAATTTTTAAGAAGTATTTTAAATGTGACTAACAGATGATTGAATATTGACATAATTTTCAAAATTAGATATGTTATCTAAATTCAATTTTAGTTTCTTAAAATTTAAATATTTTCATTCCAAAACTTCTTGATTTTCATATTATATTTTGTTTTTTTAGATACTGACTGGATTTAAAACACAAGTCGGTGATGAAAATTGGAGAAGATTTGTTGACCAGTTCCCACCAAATTTATCGGAGCGTTTAGTAGCAATGTATAATATTTAAACGAGATTTATCTAAAAATTAAATAAATAAGGAACTCAGACTAAAAACTTTTATTGATTAAAATAAAAAAATATTAGTTGTTTGCAAATGAATTTGGAAAAATATATATATAATATATGTAAATATATATCAACTAATTGTATTTATATATAGTATGTATATAGGAAATAAAAAATATATATGGAGATATATATATAAATAAAAAAATATAAAGTAATATGCCAACTGATATACTACTATTATATATAATGGTATAATGTATTTTGCATTATGTATTATAAATTTGAAGTCAAAAATTTATATGAATATACTATTGAAATAATAATTATATTATTTAAGTACAGTCATTCCTCATATACCTTTCAATTTTTTTCAATATTATGTAATGCTTTATGTAGGTACATTATAAAATTTATTTAAAAATAAAAGCAGATCACAAAAAAATTAAATTCATTAATGAAAGGCGACTCATAAAATTTAGATATATAACATATTAATAATATTATAAACTTTTTATTTCATTTATTTTATAATAATATATGAAACTAGTAGTATATTTATTTGAGACGTTGAAATATTGTTTAATTGTAAAATTTAATTGCATTAAAAGTTTTTATTTTTGTTTTATTTTTTGTTGTAGATTTTTAATCATTTTTTCATCATCATAATCAAATAATTTATTTTAAATTTCTGAGTTTAAATAAATCTTTTTCCAAATGAATAAAAAAAAATACGTATATATAACAAAGTTTCTATGAAATTAATCATTTTGTCTCATTTATCTTAGTAAACTATAAAAATAAAATTAAAAAATTATTGTGATATATAAATGATATTTTATAAATATATTCAAATTGTGTAATTAATAATATGTATATATATTTTTTAATATATGAATAAAAATTATAACTTTAAAATAATTACTATAAAATGATAAGTTGTATAAATTAAAAGAGCTATAAAAATAAAATGATTAAATGAAAGGAAATTTCGAAACAAAAGCAAATATTTTCAGTGGTTTCTCAAAATACAAATCAAATATGATTGAATGTATATATGTGTTTATATATAAATAAATATGTAGCATAATACCTTTAAAATATATACCTGTAAATAATTAATTGCATAAAAAAAGTACATAAATAATTTGATTAATAAAATATTAATATATAAATGTTAATAAAAAACTTGATCAAAAAAAAAAAATAAACACCATGAAATTTTTTTTTTTATTAATTGAGTCGCCGATTTTTATTTAAATTTAAAATACATACATATATGTATTAATATGCTAATATATTTTTATGATTTTCTTTAAAAACAAATTCAAGATAAAATATGTAATTAAAATTAAAAAAATTGGAATATTGTCCTTATTTAATATAAATTATATATTATTATAATTACTTGACCAAGTTTTCTTTCGCTTGGAATCATATTTTTTTTTTAATTTTATCTCCTTATAACAATATACGGGCGGATATGTATTAATTAAAAAAAAAAATAATTATATTAAAAATAAGCTATATAGTATAGTAAGACAAACACTCTTTAAACTTTGACAAAACAAAAAACAAAAAAAAAGTAAAAAAAAACAAATTGTTTTAGATTAGATATAAAAATATATAAATAATATTTGAATTTTTTTTTTTAAAGACTTCTGAAATATTACTAATTTATACATATATTTGTAGACTGTACGATGTTGAAGAAAATTGTTAAATTTATTTGATATTATTTTGTTTATTTTGAATTAAAATTAATGTTTTTCTATATCATATCTTTAAAAAGAATTTTGTATTAAAAGACCAATCAAAGTTTAGCTTTTTATCATTAAAACTAAAATTTCATAAATAATCTATTAATCAATTTTTTGTTGATTGAACATTATATAATAAAAATTATATAAAATTGATTCCTATTGAGTTCAAGTTCAACAAAATAATGCACTCAAATCTTCTTTTTTCGGTTTATAAATTTCATTTTCAATATTTTCACTAATTTCTTATTTAAGAACAAATATGTTGTCTTCCGAATTTTAAAACCAGATTGTAATTTTTAATATTAATAGTTTCTTCAACTATTACGGTCTAAAGATATATTTAATTAAATAAATAATATTAAATAATATTTCAAAGTAAAATAATATATTTGCTTTTCGATTACAATATAAAACCATACTCTAATCCATTATATGTAATTAAATAATAATATAAATAAAATAATACAAGAATTGTTTATAATCTTCTTTCCTTTTTTTGTCGATTAAATTTTAAATAAAACATTTAAAAATTTGAAAATGAAAACTGAAGAAAAATATTTGAATATCTTCAATTTTAGAAACAATATTATAATCGTAATAAGATACAATATATAAATATATATATATATACATATTTATACGTATATATACATATTTATACGTATATATACATATATACAATTTGTGTGTATATAAATATAAAAATAAAATTTTTAAAGTAAATAAAAGAAACAAAAAGAAAGCTGTACTTAACCTTTGAAAAAAAAATTTAAATTAAATTTATTAGAAACTGATTAATTTTTTTTTTGTAATTCAAATACATAAATATGGTTTATTTTTTTAATTTTGTTGCCTTAAAAAAATATAATTGTGATATAAATATCTTTGATTTTAGGTAAAAATAAAAAAATTAAAAAAAAAGCCAATAAAGAAAATGCATTGATAAATATTATATATTTACAAAATATAAATAAAATGAATAAAAGAAATAAAATATATAAATTCTAAGATAAAAAATAAGAACAAAAACATATTTTGTTTTAAAAGATATAAATTAATTATAGAATTAAAACAAAAATTTTTTATACATCGTCCTTACTTTTTCATTACAAAAAATAATTTATAAATAATTTAATAATTTTGTAGAAAAAAGAAATAATTAGTTTTTTCTTGCACTAAATATGTATATTACATGGAAATATATCAAATTATGTTATTTTTTTTTTAAAATAGTCGAAATAAATAATAATCTAATAAAGTAAACATTTTTTTAACTAAATATTTTAATATAAAAAATTTATTGAAGCAAAATTTAATAACTTAATAGATTTAATTTAATAGTTTTAAATACAACAATATTTACTATCAAATATAAAAGAATATCATTAGTTTGGATACTTTAAAAAAATTAAAATTAATATTTTAATTTTATTGTTATACTCTGAATTTTCAAAATTTATAAATGTTTTTCTACTAACTATATATTAGTTTCTTTCAATCGAAGTTATCTAAAATCATAAATTTAAATAATTTTTATATTATATTCAAATATCAATCTAAGCATATAATATCATTTTTACAATTTATACAAAATCTATATTTTATAAGCAAACATTTCTTTAAATCTTCTTAATATAGGAAAACAATCATGAAATAAAACAAAAAAAAAATACAATCATTTTTTGTTTGTTTTGTTTTGAAGAAAATAATTATTAGAACTTAAATATCAGCAAAATAAAGACGTCAAGTACAAAATATACAATATGAAACTTTGAAAAAATATAATATTAATTATTATAAAATAATTACATAAAATAATAATAATATTAAAAATAAACAAAAATTTAGTAGTGAATTTATTTCGACATTTTAAAAATATGTAACTATTATAATATTTCAAAAATGACCAGATATAATTATTAATTTAGTTCTAATAAATATAAGTTAATATTATGATAATTAAAATAATTAATATTATAATGCATTTTCTAATTTAAAAATTTACAAAAAACAAATATATAAAAAAAGAAATAAATATAAAAATATACTAACTATTATGTATATAAAATATATACATATATAATTATATTTGTAACTAACAATAATATTAAACAATTCAATCGTCGTTTATAAAAAAAAAATGAATAAACAAAAAAAAAAAAAAAGAAAACCAAATAAATTAGAAATCGGTTCGCGTCGCGTTTAAATTAAAAAAAAAATATCATAATATGTTGTAGATATAATATATAAATTAATTTATATATAATATGTATTTAGTAAATATAATTTAATATGTGAAAATAATATTTTTCAATCCAAAATTTTATAAACTGGTAAAATTAAATTAAAACTTAACAAAATTATCTGTTTTTTATTTTTATTTTTCAAACTTGGTAAATTTAATTATTTTATAGCACACAAAATTATATTTTTTCTTTACAAATTAAAAATATTTTAATTGCAAACGCTGTAAAAGTAATTAATTGTAATTATTGCAAAATGTGTAAAATAAGTATTACATTTGTATAACAAACAAAAAAAAAAGTTCCTTTTGAATATGTACTTTATAAGTAAGTGCCATTTGAGTGCTATTTTCATATCGTTCACGATTATTTTTTTTAAGACTGAAAACATAAAAATGTAATAATTTAGAAAAAAAAAAACTTTCATAGATGTTTGAAATTATAGAAGCAAATATGAATTTAAAAAAATATGAAATTTTCTTTCAAAAATAAAATATAAATTTTATAAAATTTTCTTAATTACTTAGGAGAAATATTGTTACTTTTACTTTCTTTCTTCAAGTTCAAATATTTAGGTGTTATACTATGCTATCGACTGTAAATTCTACTATTATAATAATTTTCTTCTCTCCATAACATAATTAAATCGTTTTGTTCTATTTTTATGCAAGCTATAAGCTACATACTAGCTACATGCAAGTAAATTTATTTAAAAACATATTTTGTTCTCATTCTAATAATCTTATTTCGTTATGTACTGTAACTGTTATCAACAAAATATGTTTATAAATTGGATTAACAGAAAAATTTTAAATTTTTAATTTTACTCACTATATTTTAAATTTTCTAAATATATAAGTCTATGAATTATTATTTTATATAGATATCTACAATTAAACATAAATGATATTCGCGTTAATAAAAAAATTAATAATTAATAAATAAATTAAAGTAATACAAAAAAAAAAATAAATATATATCAGATATATTGAAAATATCAGTAATTATATTTATATCTCGTGTAAAATATTTAATTATAAAAAACAAAATTATAATTATTATGTGAAGTAAAGACTCGATATTTTTTTAATTATGTTCCAAAATCCAAAATACTGAAAAAGAACAAAAAAAAAAAAGCAAAAGAAAATAAATAGAAATAAAAAACAAAAAAAATTATATTAATTTTTCTATAAAATATTAAATTATTTTTTTATTTAAAAAAAAAATTAAAAATAAACATTTTTTAAATTTATAAGAAATTCATATACTTACATAAATCCTATATTAATAATAAATTATAAAATATAAATATTTTTAATTTTTGTTAATATATATAGATAATTATATTAATAAAAACTACAATAATAATAGTAATAATAACAGTCAAATTTATTAATAATTAATTTATAAATTGTTTAAAAATTAATAATAACAATCATAATAACATAAATATATAATAATTAAAAAAAATCGTGTTTCAATTGGGGAAAAGTCGTGTGATCGTCGGTTATTTCGTCGCGTCGGTTATATTAAAAAAAATATTTATAATAAATATGAGTTTCCGCCCCAAAACTCCAATACAAAAACAATTAATACTTAAAAAATTCTAATAGCAAAAAAAAAAGAAAAAAAAAAAGAAAAAAAAAACAAAAAAATTAATCGTTCGCTTTCGGCCTACCGACCTTTAAAACTTCCAACATTTTG